GATATGCTACTTAATAATAACAAGTAGTTTGAGTATATTAAGGTATATTTTACAATTCATATTAAGATTTTGACACAATCATTAGTTGTTTTTACTGATTTAAAATGTATCCTATAGCTTCATTCTTATTCACTTATTCGATAAATGTAATTTGTATTCGACAATACCTTTTTTACAATGAAAACGACACTCAGACACATAGTGACTGTAAATTCATGTCATTTGTTTTATTTTACATATAAACAGTGCACTTTCATTTAAATCTATTCGTTTGGTTTCGATAGTTGAATCATAGTTTGGTCGTTAGGCTAGGATAATTGTATACATTTTATGATTAGTAAAGTTACAAAATTTTATTGATTAAACCAACTTTCAGTTAACTAAGTACTCAAGAAAAGACATCTTGGTTTATTTCGTTTTTCAAAAAAACTGTTTAGTTTTATACATTTCATTGCTTGATATTAGTGTTTCAGATAATGTGACTGCAGTTTAAGACGATATCGGTTAGGCTTTCAACTTAGCCTTTAGTTTAAGATTTTTATTCACGTATGAACTTGTTATGCTCATATTACTATAACCGGCAATATTTATGTGTTCACTTGTTGGGACTGATAGATTTGTAGAATAAAAGTAATACACGATTGAAATGTTCAATCTTCCAAATATACATGTTCAATGTTGCAAGTTATTTGAGAGTGAATCACCGATGCTTTGTGTCTGATATGATATGTTTAGGCCCCCCCCCCTGGTACGGCCGAGAGTGGGGAAAGTCCGCTCTCCCTCTTGAAATGCCCTCACATGACCACGCGTATATAGCCTCTGCCAGGGAAGTCCTGCTCACTGCATTCTCGTGGCATCACTGTTGTTTACGAAAAGCGAATGTCCGGCGCTTTAACCGGATTCCAAACCAATGGTGCACATGGGCTCCAGTATCCTGCGGGAACAAATGGCGTATGAACCAATTGTTGGTCACCGGCTTCCATGGGACTGCATCCCCTCACAATGCTCCACTGCCTTGTGGATCAGACCTTCAGGTCGAAGGCTCGGGGAGTGGCCCCCTAAGAAAACCACCTGCTTCGGTTTGGGCACCCGGACAGTATCACAGCCCTCACACATATCGAATGAGATTTGTGTGGTGCATATGTATTTAGTGCCTATTTGTACCAATATCTACGATGTGTTTGGGCAAATGTAATAGATGTTCAGTAATTAGGTTGCCGTGTTTTCGACTGAAGTAATGATGCAACTCATTTATAAAATACTGGTCAATTTACACGACTAATGTCAAATTCTCTGACAAGACCTCGTATCTAGATTTCCAATATCAACTAGTTAGTAGCTGTTGGCTTAATAAACTATTTATCCTAAGAAGACATCCGAAATCACTTCGCTATGATCGATCGAAGCTTCTCATACAACTGATCTTCATCATTTTTGTTGTTATCATTGGTGGGTGCATAACATCCATGTTGATTCGTTCCTTTGTTTTAAAGGATGCTTTGCTGATTCTGGGTCAATGAGATTCCCATCCTATAAGTGCATTACGTGCTTATTTGGACAGAATTAGAGAAACTCCCTGAATGTTCGAAGCAGTCTCTTCTTCATAAGCAGAGTAAAGCAGCATCCCTCCTTTCCTGTTTAGCTTGGGTTCAATCGGTTCTACTGAGTCCGAGAACCACCATGTTGTATCTCCTCATTCGCGCAGCTATTTAACTGGTCCTCCCAGTCTCCCACATTTTTCAGACATTCCATATACCAATATTTATCGTTGCTCTGGTTGTTAGAAGGGTCGTCGGCTTCGTGGTTTTTGAAGAATCTCGGCTTTCACCATGAGGCGTCATAACTCTTATGCATGAATATTCTTCGATTCTGAGGGTGGAATTTAAATGGTTTTAGTTGTTTATCCTGGTTAGTGGTTTCTTAGCAAGGTTGTTTTCTACGGGATGGGGTTACTGACTTATGCCCGACCCTCCTCCTTTACCCGGGCTTGGGACCGATTGTAATCCTAGAATGGCTACGGCCAGAGTTATTGTTAAAAATAGTGGTAAGTTTACTCCAAGCTTGAATTAAGTAATTTTGTTTGGTAACAGTTACGATTGTTATATTAAACATTGAATTTAATACACTACCATTTGTTTATATAATTACATAATACCCGGTAAACCCATGCATGGCATATAATCAGTATCCTACTGAATATTACGTTATTTCTACATAGCGAAAAATAACTTTCGGCAACCATGTACGTGTCTGGTTGTAAATAATCGATAATCATCATCCTAGCATTAACGGCCATTTTTCACTGCTTTGAGACCCAAATGAACTGACCTTAGAAAATAAAATACTTCGTGTGTTTCCTTACAACTACGCATAATATAGTCTAAATAAGATCAAAACATTTAAGAGTACGTTTGGGTTACACTGCATTTGTTAGTATAAATATTAGGGGACTACCCTAAAAGTTACTCTATTGAAAGTTGTTTGATGGAAATAGGTTTAACTTTACGAAGTGGTTAGGTGAAAAGTGTGATTTAATGTCAAGGTTTTGAGTATTATCACGAATAAGTTCGGAGTGATCATACCATTCAGTAATACGGGAACTTTCCACATATAGTTCAAGTTTGAAATTAATAATAGGCATATGGTAGTCTATTTATTTCCAACAAATAAAAAGTCGAAGAGAAATTTCAAACTGGCCACAATATGCTGGGATAATTATTATTAAGTTGGATTCTTCAAAAAAAGCAGATGGTACCAACTAGTGTTTTGATTAATCATAATAGTATTGGCGTATTTAATAGACGAATTCTCTACGATTATTAATCTAGATAACTAAGAATACAGAACACGTATACATTAGTTGAAATATTATACATTTCTATTCGTTGAGAAACCAACTGATGTATTACCAATGTTGTTTTTTATCTCACTCTCTAGTAACCATGTGGAGCAACATGGTTAAGAGAATTTCAGCATGTCGCCTTGAATCTTTGTTGAAAATATCACACTGAATGAATACAATCGAATCTGTTTATAATATTTTTGGAGGAGGACAGAAAGCTTACGTCACAGTGTTAACTTGTAACGGTTCCATTTCTTAATGGTAATTATAAAGTTAGTATAGACACATAGGATTTTGAAATGTACTGTAATATTAAACTCTGTATGTTAACAGTTTTATCATTCCTGATCCTAAGAATATAAAATATTAAGTTTAATTTTTAAAATACTTTTTGGAAAACTCAGCAAATGCACATTTGTAGCACAACTGAAACTGATTTTCCATTAAGAAGAAAATAATCTACTAATTAGTAGTCTAAAAATAAATTCAAAGCATATCAGTCAAATCGATTAGCCTTTGAAGAGCTGAAATTCATTCTGAATAAATGAATTTGAAGAACAGATACTAAACTGTTTGGAGAACCGTTGAAGTTATCTCATTTCGGAAAATTTGGTATACTCAAAAGTCTTATTTCTGACAAATAATCGATGTTAAGCAGTCAACTCTGCTTCCGATAAATTAGATAACTTGTAATTTTCATTGCATTATTCCTACCATTGTCAAATATGATTTATCATATTTAATAAGAATGAGATTGAATTAAGAAATGGGTTTGTGATAACAGTGAAGGTAGGATAAATTATAGTTATTACTCGGCTAATATTTGTACGACCAATATGATATTAGTCAAGTGTGTAGTGTCAGTTATTATGCCAAGCCCATATACCTTATTCAAGCTTTCGGACATCCCATTCTATTCATTTTACTTGAGCCATACATTGACCTTGTTATTTATTCGTTTATCAATCTAGACTGTTTTTATATGGGCGTATATGTGTGTGCCCTTCTTATTCTATTAATCACATGTCTGTAGCTTTATTTTGTCTGACTATAAATATTGAGTAACGCTTGACTAAAATGGAGTTGGCTTCCCAGCCATCTTCCATACGCGTCATTTTTGCTTTGCTATGCTTCATTCACTTCATGTACGAAATATACGTATTCTCAAGTCAATTCTCGTTATTCGACTTATTTAATTCCGTTATTGGATAACGCGATTTAAGTCGACGATGATATACGAGAATAGGTGATGCCAATCTTCCATACAATTATTCGTACAATCTAAATGGAGTCAGAACTACGGGCCACTAAAGTGGTGAGCCCTTCAACGAATATCGCCGATCTAAATGAGGACAAAATCAAACCATGGGCCACAAAAAGTGTAATATTGTGATTTTTTTCTGTAGTATAACCATATAAAACAAAGAAAAGAAAACACCAGGAACTATTTTCCTGAATAAACTGCTATCAGAAAACTGTCGTCAAATTTTTTCACCTACTTTTACTTTGAAATTGCGACTATTCTGTAAAATTTTGAATAACTAATTCGAAAAGAACTATTCCGTGACAATTCAATTCGAAAGACAAACCACTCTAGTCACAATCACATCAGAATTAGAACCAACTTCTCAACTGGTTCATTTGAGATACAACAAATCGACTAAGATCAATGACTTAGAGATACAGATACATAAGCCTCTTTAAACGCTTGTCTAACCTGCTACATGGGAAGACTAAAATGACTAGGTTACTGTAGTTGGCAGACCGAATAGTGTCCACAAATCATTGGCAGATATATCAATCCCTTTGACCAGGAAAGAGAAATATTTAGGGTAAGACTTGAACTAAGTGTACAATCGGTTCCGTCCAATAGTATCCCTTGTTATCATCTTTCACCCCACCGTTTGGCTTTGAAATAACATGTAATATGTTTAGACTTGGATAGCTTATTAATACGTAGATTACATAATGATAATTTGTTCAAAAATGTCCAATTGTTATACTATGTATAATAGTAGAGCCTAATGGTTGAAACAGTCAAGTAGTAGCTTCAAAACTCACTCCATATATACAGCAGTCTTGATAAGAAGATAGTATAATTAGTCACTAATCTCTGCAGACCAACAACAATTATAGCTTAAAGTCAAGTATATGAGGATGAACTTGTTTACTTCTGAGTTACATTAATTAACTAAATTAACAATGCATAATAAATATGCTAATATCAGTTTATAGAAGAACAGGACGATCATAACAAAAAGAAAAAACAAACAAATTTTATATTTATTTACAAATTTTTTAAATTGAATAATTCAACAAGGTGATGAATAAACAACTACAAGAAAACTTAAAAACAATTCACTTCATTCACAGTTTGATTAGAAAATAAACGATCAAATGAGAAACGTACTAGATCGAAGGTTTTATATTGTTGAAAGGCAATCAATTCAGAAATTGATTTTCCAATTGCTATAGCATGCTGTGTACCATGACCACTTGAACCATTGCAAAAATACATGTTCGTATGTAATGGATGGGAACCAATAATTAAATTTTGATCCCATGTATTATAATCACATATGGATATCCAACCTGAAGTTACCTATTTACACATTGAATGAAATGATATGAGTATACGGATACTATGTTTTGAGATTATATTAATCAGTATTTATGAAGATATTATGCATATATATATATATATATCAATTGTTGGAGATCCTGTTTCTGATCCGGAAATGGACAAGGGTGTTTTATTCCGGAGTTGATGTTCACTAATTAGTGTCAGGAGAAATTTCACATTCAAGCCGACGTAAGACTGAAATCCTGTGAACAACTTTTGTCCATCTTAAAATCTGAAGAACAGTTAAGTTCTTATCGTTTAAAACATTTTAATAAGTTAAGACAAAGATCCACAAATTTAATAATACTTTCTTGTTTGTTTTTTGGGTACTTCAAAATGCTGAGTCAGAATCCAATGATCAACATTTCCAAATTCCATTGATTAATGTATAAATATACCATACTATACTATAAATATCTAATTGATAAACTTCACTAAGAAAACACACCGAGTTATTGTGTAATCTAAGCTAAGTCAACAAATGTAGTCAAATCATACATCTGACATCAAGTGATCTAATCTATTTATTTATCAGTATTATTTTTCAAGAAAAATAAATCAAATTATTATATTTAAATCATCAAGTTAATTACTTCAGCATCTTTAAATCCTGGTATACGTTTACACAATAACGGTTGAATATATTCATGGAAAAGTTCATGGTTCACCGAATTCTGATATTAAAATAAGAATAAATGAATAGAAAATGGTAGGAATTGAAATGAAAATTAACTGACGATTCAAACAATACAATAAAGTCTAATAAGATGCAGCTGGCAAAATATTAATCCAGAGATTACGCAGAGCAGTCCGAATATCATTCAAAATCAGCGAACTAAGACTAGTGTTTTCTACACACCAAGGCTAAAAGATGAACGATGTAGAATAATCATCCCGTTTTGTATTTATCAGTTCCAATGCTCTTGTGGAGCAAGTTATATCGGTCAAATTCCTAGGAATTTACACCTTCGTGCTCGCGACCACCTCTCAGCGTGACTAAGCGAAGGTCTAGTAGTGAACAGTTCGATATTGGCTCATTTAGCGCAAGCTGGTCATAGTGCCAGTATAAGCCAATCTTTTTCAATTATTTATCCAATCAGTAATTTTTTTCAAAAGCCTGTCAAACTCAAAGTCCTTCAAATGACGGAAGTAGTAGCCATCTGGATCAAGAAACCGGAGATTTGTGCAAAAGAAATATCTTCAACCACGTATCCGATAAGTCAATAGTCATCTTAATTATGGGATGATCTACTTTGACTGATCTACATACATCTTTCCTCCTTTATATTTTCGTAATTTACAATGATTTTAGGTAATTTTTGTTATTGTTATATGCTATATATTATTGTAATAATTATCACAATTACTATTACCATCAATCTTGTGAAAACACCAAGAATTTGATTACCTATTATCCCGTTTTATTATCCCATATTATTGTAGACACTAAGTATTCTTTGACCGAACAATTTGATTTGATCTGCAACTACACAATAGTTTCTTTCACTCTGGATTAATCAACCTTGTAATTTCATTTAATGTATAAACCTATTCCAGTTAACATTGGTTAGTAATCATTTCAAAATGAACAATTCTATTTCAAAATGTTTTATATTCCTATGCTGGATTATTTGTCTTAAAGTTGACTATTCTTTATTCAGATATTTTCTTTAAGAGTTTCGATTTATTCATTGAAAGCCAAGAAGAAAAAAAGAGTTCCAATCTATTCATTACTGTTGTTTATCTTCGAAGTTAGATTATGTAAAGCAATAGATAAGTCAGTCAAAGAAATTCTCCATTTTAAGGCTTTTGTAATAAAGATAAATTATTTCATTGTGAAAAGTATTCGTTAATGCGTTCCCATTTTTTTTTCGAATATAAATATCAATGATTTAATAATCATTACTGAAGTTAATTCAAGTTAAATAGAATTTGAACGGCGGTAAAAAAAAACAACTAAACAGATAAATGTTTATTTAATAGTAAATAGATCTCGTGGGACCAATTCTGAAGAAAAACAGTATGATGTGGAAACAAATTGCTGTTAGATGAATGACAACTTAATATTATTTATGATTTTCTAGAACTACGATCTCATAATTGCCTATTCTTAAGTAATACTATGAAGTAGTCACTTGATTTAGCAGAGGTGTAGTGAAGACAGTGAACAGCTCAATACTGGCTTAATTAGTGCAAACTGATCATAGTGCCAGTATAAGCCAACCTTTCACAATAATTTATCGGGTCAGTAATTTTTTGCCATAGTCTGTTAAATGACTAATTGAAAAACATAAAATATAACCACAGAATCTAATAATTTAAATTACTGAAAAATTATGTGATATTTTTACACTAATCTCCTGCACTTCAACGGGATATTTTAGTATGAGCAGTATGGAACGTTGCTACTTACACTGACTGATAACTGTAATGACCGATGTCATGTTTGTCTAGTTCATTAATGCTGACTGAACTCTATAGATCAAGTTAAAGTGTGGCTATAGTAGATTGTGTCATTCAGAATCCCATGTACTATGTTTTGAAGTTAGGTGGATAGTGGAAATCAACGGGAAACTCTGGATATAGATTTCATAATAGTTGGTATTCGTCAGCAAGTTGTACCTGAAATTTTGTGAAGATTAATGCTCAGCCAGTCGTGACCTAAACAACCCAGTAGCAAAGTCTATGACTGTGATACAGGTTAGAGCTAACTCAAGTTCCGTAAATAGCACTGATTCCCTTAAGAGTGCAAGCAGTTTTTCCTGAAGAGTAACGGATAGTACGAAACATAGGTCCAAGGATTTATGCTGATTACCTACAAATACTTAACACTTATTGTTTGTGATGTCTTTCTTCTACAGGCACGTTGTCCAATCTAGCTATCTAGATATAATTGGGAAAGTCAAATTTGTCGAAATAGAAAGCAGGTAATAAAGATACCTATATATAGTCTTAAAAAATAAATAACTTACTTGTTTATTACAATTATTATTAAGAGAATCAAATTTAGGATTATCAGAATAAACAATAAATTCCCCGGAAAGATCACGACGTTCAATAAATAAACGATTATGATCTATCATAAATGGCATATCTAAACCAGGTAATGGATAATGACTTTCCATATGACAAAGTGTATTTTTAGGTCGCACAACGAAAATTTGACGATATCTAGATCAGGAGATAATGAAAAGAAGAAGGGAACAAACAACTCATGAGTACAACAATGGAAATAGAATATGAATAGTTCATTAATGTGAACAATGATATCATTGTCTAAATCTTAACCTATAGGTCTAGACGAACTATCATTAAAGTGACATTTAAAAATTTTATAAAATTTGAGCATAAACTTTTAGTCTAACATCGCTATTATTTGGAGAAATTTCAATAATGATTAATGAGATGGAAGTAATTCTGATAGGCTTGAAAATTTTGATATTTTTAGGAAAAACTATTTAAAAAAATAAAAGATTTGACACAAATGTGCATCAATTCGAACTAGTATAGTTTACATCAGTATGAGATAGGGAATTGATTAATAAGATTATAAGTAAAAGAGTTAAAACAATAATATCGATAGCAGTGAAACTTGCAGAAAATATAGTTTGAAAAGATTGTGTAACACTAAAACCGAAGGTTCAGAGGAATAAAGAGAATAAATATATATGGGTTACTACAAGAGATTCCAAGCAATACTATTCAAGCTATCTGCTTACAAACAATGACTACTACACGGATCTAATCTAGAGCAAATTTCAGTTAAAACCTTTGCCATCCAGCATAGAACGTTAGAATAGACAGTGAAAAAGAGTAGACAATACATGTTTTACACTCAGTCGATTAAAACTCAGCTTTGTAGATTGATTTATCATCTCTATCTAGTATCCTATGCATAACCTTAGTAATACAGTAAAACACAGTGTTTTACATTTGTAAAGTAATAAGGTGAAAACTATTGTGGAGTATAATGACGTTTTGAAAAGAAGATAGATATCTTTCGTGGACTTGTAGTGTCGGTTGCTATGCCAGTTCACATAGTTTATTCTAGCTTTCGGACAGGCCGATTTATCCATCCTTCTTCAGTCAAAATTTGGATATCCATATGTGATTATAATACATTGAGTTCCGTTATTCACCAACGCGATTAAAGTTGATGATTATACACAAGGATTGGCGACATGTGTATTTCGATAACAATCAGAAACGATCTAACTGGAGTCAGATACCGGGTCACTAAAATCTTCAGATGATGGAAGTGACAAAAACCAAGCCAGGTTAATGTACTCGTTCTGGGATTTAGTTAGCTAACGACCCAGTTGGGTTGGTGAGACTCGTAATGTAAGTGAATTGATAAACGAGCCCAACTACTTTAGTTTCTATGGTCAGCTAAGCTATTGACCTGTGGGAAGATTTTGTATTTAGAAGGAGTAAATAGATCTGAAAACCCTTGATTCGTAAATTTGTATTTGTTCAGAGTATTCATTAAACACGGCGATGTTAGTTGTGTGCTTGAACTCAGTAAGGAAACTTTCACGTAGAAGGCTAATTTCTATGGTATAAAATGACATTTGCGTGCTCAAGAAATAGGAAAAAACAACTATTGTTATCGGGTTAAAGATAAAAATCATTTTGAATCTCTCCTACATTCAAAGCAATTTTTTTGTACTAAATGTTAAGATGAATAGGATTTGTAACCTGAAGATTCTGTAGAATTTTCGAATGCTTACTTTGAAAATAAATTCCATGATAACTTATGTAGAAGTGAGGAGGACAGGAAAATGATATATATAAAAAAACGATGAATTTAAAAAGGAAGTAAACTATTTACAAATCACCTTGGCTCAACTGGTAACCGTAAAGGAAGATTTTCGCTGCCAATTTCAGCCAATTCAGCCACATGTGCCGCCCATGGACCTGCTGCATTTACTACTGAATTAAAACTAATAGAAATATTCATTTGGTTGGGAAGGGAAATCTGAACAGATTGGAATCAAACAAATAAAGATACATGGATTAATGGTAAAAATGCATATTTTCTAAGGTAGAAAAAGAATATTTTATGTAAATGTACATTTGATTCTTTTGAATCGATCAACTGCAAATATTTCAATGGCTTAAATACATTCCTGTAAAGAATATATCATCACGACTGTACCTCCGAAATAGCATGAAATCTGTAAAAAAGTTTTCTTAAATAAAAATATTTCCATTATTACTCATATGTGGTTAAGTGATGCTTACTTACAAAAACCGTACTACTAACGCAAAGCCTCTCAAAGAAGTAGACTAAACGACTGGTCGGTAGTATGACACATTTATATACAAGATACTGAATAAGAGAAGTAAACATGATTAAAAGTTATTTAAAACATAATTGAATGCTGGGTATGAGTTCTGTAGGTCAGTCACCAGCCTATGAAGTTTAGACCACAATATCAGGTTTATTTATTGCCCATTGTATCAATAAAAACTTATTACGCAAATTCAATAGAGCGATATAATGTATGATCTACCAAGATTACTTATTCCTTTAAAAAGCCAAGTAGAAATTACTGCTATTGTATTTAGTTAAGCTGAAGATCAGAACTGTAAACCAGTACAAACATGTATGTTAATGCACTTCGTTCTGAGATTATACTCTCAGATTGACGGTTCGTGACATGACCCAACTGCTGGAGCTAAAGTGGTTGGAGTAGGATTAGAACATGCAGCTCAAAGGTTGAGATTCAAATGATTAAATCACTAAAACACTGCTCCAGTTTGGTTGAAATTACTCTTTGTATGCTGTATTTATGAATATGAAAAACGCTGGTATTTTAGCTGGAACATAATGGACAGAGGTATATTATTTAAAAACCAAGGTAACCTGTTGGATAATTGTACTTGTGCAAGATTAAAACGAACAGAATTAGATGACTTTATTAAAGCTTACTGTAGCAGAACGTAAAGGTTTACATAATACTGGAGGTCTCTGTGACTCCCCACCAGAAGAAGATACCATAATGAATGGACTAGCATGGAAGTCAGTCACTTCTCCAACAACATAATTTACTCCCATGAAATGACATTTTATTTTCAATGCCTTCAGTAAAAGAAAAGGATCAAACCATCCTTCATTTTCATAACCTAGAAAAGAAAGTAGATATGTTATTTGTTTGAAAATACGAAGATAATTAAACAAACTTAATGAGAAAGATTATTTTTGATATGAATCTAGATATACCATATGATAACCTAAAGAGATCATTCATTTCACATCTTTGACCGATCAGCAGATAATCGAGCAGCCTTTAGTTAGAGTACAGCTAGGTGACAATACACAGTCAACGTTGAAATGGCATATGACAAATATATTGAGAAGTCGTCTTGTGCATAAATTCCCATTATATCATTTTTGGCTCAGACGTCTCCGTGTATTTAGTGTCGGAAATAAAAAAGTTCAACTACATACAACGTCACCGATGGTAAAGATTCGTGTAACTGACGTCAGGTTCGAGCATGTACAACTTGGTACTGTTGAACCCTTACCACCTAATAATTTTACACACTAGCATGTATTGATTGATTCACTAGACGGCCGATAGCCAATTCATTAAAAGACACTACAGAAGAGGTAGTGGTAAAGAAATTTGTGAAGGACTCGGTTGGCAATTTTTGAGTTCTAAAAACAACTACCACAAATAGGGGTTCACGATTCGAAAGTCGTCTGTCTCATCGCCCAGTAGTCGTTGAGCATCAAGTGAATATGAACCACAGCTTGTCACCCTACCACAGACGGAATGATAGAGGTTTCACTGACAACTAAAAGCCTCTTTAACAGCCATGGGATGTCAATCTCCCTTTAGTATTACTAAAGATTCTCACAACCTTCAAGCGAGGCATCGGGTGCTGGGCTGCCAAGTTGGTTTATGAAACAAAACTGTTTCAGAAATCTCAACACGGATTCAAAAAGCCCGTTTGGCTTTTGCCAATTTACGTCACCTATGGCGAAGGCGAGATATTCGTCTATCAATTAAGGGACGAGTATACTGAGCGGCAGTTCGTTCTGTTCTACTTAACGGCTGCGAAACGTATCAATTAAGAGTAGAAGATACTCGTGAGTTACTAGTATTCGATCACAGATGCCTTAGAAATATTGTTTGCATCTGCTGGGATCACTGGATCAGTAATAATGAGGTTAGACGCAGGGCATTAGGGAATGATGATAAATCAGTTCATGAGATTGTGAATCTTCATAGACTGAGATGGTTGGGCTACGTGTTACGTATGCCCGAAAACCGATTACCACGACGTGCATGCTGACTAGTGCTGGAGATGGTTAGAAAGTTATGGGCGGCCAGACCAAAACGTGGAGTCAGTGCTTGAGGTCACTAACTTTTAGTTTGTGCCGTGTTGGTAGATGCAGACTACTTGGTTGGGGTCCGCGCGACTATCGTAACCAATGGTTGGAGACTCTTGGTGACATAGCTCACAATTGATCGCAATGGTGTAGTGTATACACTCTCTGTCTTCTCTTAAACTATGACATTAAAACCACTTTATATCTTTCTACCAACTATTTTTTTCTTCTTGTGCTATGTCCTCATATGCAATCTTTCTTTTACATATTACCACCACTGAATTAACTACTTCTGTGAATTCGGTGTTATCTTGTTGTGCTAATGAGGTGTGACAACTTGGACCGATGCACATATGTGCCTGGTCCTACGTTGTAGCTGACTGACTGACTGCTCGACCTCGGGTCATAATGCGTGTGAGCCAGTGATACAATATTGCCTGGCTACTTGAGAAGTAAACATGTAATGTGGAGTTTAAACCTCTAACTCAGTAGTTGAAAGTCAAGTGATTTAACTACTTAACTGCTATTGTTCAACTATTGCAGTTATCAAACAAATTTGGGATAAAATCCTAAATGAAATATTACAGATATATTCCAATACACACTAACCGTAGCAACCCATTTCAATATCGTCAACATTCATCCATGGCCAACGCGCAGACAGATCGTCTTTAGTTAGCAGTTCAACTTTTGCTCCTAGATCACTATAACAAATAGTAATTAGTAAGGAGACAAATAACAATAAAAGTGTACATCTGTAATAAATAATTCTCTTTTAACAAATCCACATTCTCAGCATTTGCTAACATTAAACAACCTTGAGGATTGAAACCAATATCTATGCTTTCTGTTGGATCTTAACTAAACAATTTATAAAATTACTCGTTTCAAACCTTCCACCGATAGATAATTTGAGACATTTCTCAAAAACCCGATTGAAAACAATGACATCTGTATATTTTCTGGTTCTGAAAATTGTTGTCGTATAGATCCTAGTCCAAGAACTGTGGCTGACTGACTATATGTAGGATCCTTCTCAACTACAGTGACAGAAAACTTTGAATCACGTCGGAGCCAAAAAGCTGTTGCCCAACCCATGATACCTCCACCGATAACTAGCACATCTGTGTTTCTCGGAACTTGATCTTCTCTATCTAGGTATAAGATAAGGGAGAAATAGTATATTGACATGCATGTAATATGTGAAGTAGACCATTTTAAAGGTAGCCTTGTGTATATGCTTCTTTTTTGACTTTTGACAAGGCCAGAAGATACGGCATAGTTTAATCGATTTAATCCAAACTTCAGCATGTGATTTTCTAAAAACTATTAGAAAAGAATGGACTGCTTGAAGTTGTGATTAAGAAAACAAACGTTTACCATGAATAACAAAAAAAACAACGTAATGTGTCAGGAATATCGAAACTTTAACGGGTTTTAGATCGAAGTTCATCATGATTTTTGATTTCTTTCTTAGATCTGTGAGGATAACTTAAGAGTCAAGAAGGCAATTTTGGTTGTGTTACTGTTATTAAACTGTAAGACTAAGTAAAGCTTTTTCGTATCAAGAGACATTAAAATAACAAGTTTGAAAGTACTAAAGATTTTTGTAATGTTCTTGAAAATCAACTACGCAGTTTTATGAAACTACTCAAGTGAACTGTTTCGCACCTAGTCAATTGGCCACTGAATTTTTCGTCGTTTTTCTGTATATCAGATCACGATCCTATCTGATTGGACTTAAATTGTTGATTTAGGTGAGTTTTCACATAACTATCGTAACAACATACTACAGAAGAAACCAAAAGCAACATAAAGAACAAGTAATCTAGGACGGGAACAACATTTTTGAGTGGTTGGTTTTAAAATAGGGGGAAGTAGTCTAAGCGAGAAAAAACAACAGGAAAAACGGAATAGATGTGGGTCCATAATTACGGTTTCAGACTTATGTTGGTATTGTACCTCTCTCCTTTAAGGTTGGTAAAGTCATACTTAGTGTATGTGGTATGCATATATGGATACTGTGCAAGTTGCACAAGTATCTTCAATACTCCTTTCCACTGATGTAAAACATTTTGAGGAATAACAGATGCGGATGCATGTGCAATTTAGGCGAACTTAGATGTTCTGGTTAGCTGTATTAGAAAATAGTTAATGGCCATCAACACAAAAGGTGTGTCTCCATGCCCTTTGAGGATACAAAGGTAAATAGGTACAGTATAGGGAAAGAGTCGAGACCCGAGGCTCGGTCACACAATGATTTTGCAGTAACAATGAGCCGTGGTCTTGCGACGACACCCCACGACCACGCAGTCGCAGTTAATAGGTTTTAAGACCGAAATTTATTGCGCCGGATACTGATTTGTTCACAACAGTATACACAGTGTGGAGGGGAATAATATTTTGTTCAGGAAAGACTTATCATGCTTGACAAATCTGCTCATTGCAAGAGAAGATTGGGCTGCAGCGAAAGATAGCAATATCCCTGTAGATGTAATTTTCATAGATCCAAGTAAAGTCTTTGGCAAGGCTTCCCATTCGGGTCTTAAATTAAAACTAGAAAGTTTTGGAATCCATTATAAGGTTACAAACTGGATAAGTGGCTTTCTCAGTAATAGGAGACAACGGACACGGGTAAATGGGGCTGTGTCAGTGTGGGAATCTGCAAAAAGCGGAGTTCCCCGATGTAAAATCCTCCGTCCTTTTCTTCTTTACTTTATGTAGATGACTTACCAATTGTAGCAAAGTGATTCGTTCTATTCTTTGAGGATAAAATAAAGATTTGGAGGTCCATACACAGACAGAATGATATTACGGGATGACTTAGATTCAATGATTGAGTGGATGAATAGATGGTCACTAGAAGTTAACTCCAACAAGAGTTTGGTGATGCAACTAAATAGCTGCGACGATTCATATCATTACACAGTACGTGGAGTTGTGTTACATAAAGTAAGCTGGGAGAATATATTCTCAGTGTCTTACCAGATGACTCTAAAGGAGTTCAGGTAAAAAAAACTGGTTAGAATAGGCAAGAGGACCGAGGACAATGTTGAACCCCGTCCATGCAGACTCCTTAAGGTAATCCTAGGATCGGAGAAGCAACGGGATCTCCTGTTAAGTGGAGCTCGTTGTCACGACAATTCCGATATACGGGTTAGACCTGATATGTCTCTCGAAGATAGAATAAAAAGGAAGAAAGCACTAGCTGGACTTGAAACCTGTCGGCAAAACGGTGAGGAAAATCTCCGGCTAGTGGGTTTTCGGATACTCAGGTCTTGGAAGCGAATGCTATCAAGACCTGTGTGGATAGGCCGTTCTACTTAGGAGTTTTATATGCCAATGCTTGTAGTCTAAGAAATAAGTTCTATGAACTAAAAGCGTTGGTGGACAGATTAAAGCCACTCATCGTAGCAGTGACAGAAACTTGGTTAGTCCATGACTTAGACATTACACCAGAATTATTCGGATACCATTATCTCAGGAGTGATAGACATAGATGTAGAAAAGGAGGTGGCGTCCTGTTATATATAACCAATAATATAAATATCCGCTCCTGTGCTAGCGAATTCCATGATAGCGGTAATTGTGAAATCATTAGCTGTAAATTAGCTATCGGATGTAGTACATTTATGCTCGATGTCATCTATCGCAGCCCGATCTGCTTAGCTGATGACTATATTTTAGAGCACATTCATCTTTGGAGTGCAAATACCAGATGCTTGATAACCGGAGACCTTAATGCGCCTGATATTAGTTGGACTGAGATGACCACGGAAGGATCTATAAACTCCTTTGATAGTAGGTTCCTGGTAACAATAATGGAGCATGCACTAGTGCAGTATGTATCCAAACTCACACGTTTTGGTGTTAATCAATGTTCTTATCTGTTGGACTTGGTAATCACTCATGCGACTGAGGACATCGCAAATCTAAATATTCTTCCGCCATTAGTGAACAGCGATCACGCTGTTTTGTCATTCATGTTTAGAACTAGGGACATGTTATGCGATGAGGTTACACCCCGCCCAAATTTATGGAAAGCTAACATATCAGCCATTCAGGAATGCGCTGCTAAGACAGATTGGTTTGTAGATACTAGCATATCAGTTGAAGAAGCATGGTCTGTATTTAACGGTAAGTTTAGTTTAGTTACGTCCTCGTTCATACCATACCTTGTACCGCGAAGACCGAATAACAGTCCACCATGGATAACGAAAACAGTCAGGAAACTTAGAAAAAAGAAGAAGCACTGGAATATGTTCATCCCTACTGGCTTAGAACAACACAGATCCAGTTATTGTAAGATTAGGAATGCCTGTAAAGCGTTAATTAATAAGACTAGACGATCATATGAAAAACAATTGGTTAAGGATTTTAGATATAGTCCGAAACGGTTATTCTCGTATTTAAAAAGGCGAACTCAGAGGAGCGATGGAATTCCATCACTTTTGGTACAAGAAAATCCGTTAGTCTTGGCGGAAAATGCCGAAAAAGCTGAAGCTTTATCGGAATATTTCAGTAAAGTGTTTTTCTATCGGTAATGAGGAACGACAAACGATTCATTGTGATCGTGGTGGCTCGCTGATGGACCCTGTAGTCATTGAGAAAGGTACTGTTTTAAGGCTACTTCAGCGTCTCAAACCTGATAAGTCCAGTGGTCTTGATGATATTCATCCTAGGATTATGAAAGCCATATCAGATGTAATTGCTGAACCATTAACGATCCTGTTTGACATGTCTCTAAGGCATTCCAGACAGCCCAGAGACTGGAAAGACGCTATAATAAGTCCGGTGTATAAGGCTGGGAGTAGGGATTTAGTTAGTAACTATAGGCCCGTTAGCTTAACTAGTGCAGCTGTAAAACTGATGGAAAAAAATCATCCGGATATGTTATAAACTATGCTGAAGGGCATAATCTTTTCTTCATGGAACAACATGGTTTTCGGAGAGGCCTATCATGCTTGACAAATCTCATTGCAAGAGAAGATCGGGTTGCTGCAAAAGATCAGAATATTCCTGTGGATGTGATCTTTATAGATCTAAGTAAGGCCTTCGATAAAGTCTCCCACTCTGGTCTTAAATTCAAACTGGAACGTTTTGGAATCCATCATACAGTCGTAGATTGGATAAGTAACTTTCTCCATGACAGGAGACAAAGGGTAAGGGTAAATGGGTCTCTCTCCTCGTGAGTACCTGTAAAAAGTGGAGTTCCCCAAGGTACAATCCTCAGTCCTCTTCTCTTTTTACTTTATGTAAATGAATTACCAACTATAGAGAAATCACCCGTCCTACTCTTCGCTGATGACATAAAGATTTGGAGACCCATACACATTATGTCAGATGGGATAGTATTACGGAATTATCTTAGCTCATTGGTGGCATGGTTGGACAGGTGGTCACTAGAAGTAAATCCTAATAAGAGTGTAGTGATGCAAATAAATAACTATGATGAATCGTATCACTACATAATAGGTGGATTCGTGCTACTCAAAGTAAGAAACTATAAAGACTTAGGAGTCATATTAAGCAGTGATCTCAAAACCACTAGTCACTGTAAGGCTGCTGCTGCGAAAGGCTATAGGGTATAATGGTCTATTCGTAGGTCTTTCCTGTATTTAGATGATGAAATGTTTAGATTATTATACCCGATTTACGTCCGACTACATTTAGAATATGTGATTCAAGCAGTGAGTCCTTGTTTCAAGTATGAAGCAGAGATGCTGGAAAGAGTCCAACGACGAGGTACTAAGATGGTACAAAGTCTATCTGACCTATCTTATCAAGACAGACTGAGACACCTCAACTTATTCCCGCTATCTTAATGTAGAGTAGGGGTGATCTAATATTGGCTTATCGTATACTGAACGATGACCTTGGTATTAACATGTCTTATCTTTTACTTCCGTCCAGGACTGATCACTTGAGAGGACATTCGAAGAAAGTTCGAAAACCGAGATCAAGTCGTCTATGTCTGAAATTTCGTTTCTCGCAACGAGTATTGAATTACTGGAATTATCCACCGGAACACGTAATATAAGCACCTTCCGTTGATATCTTCAAAACGAGATTGGACCTCCACAGTATTACAAACTGCAAGGATTAATATAAGTCGACAGACCTCCTATCCTTATTACTGAAGACTAATGGAATATAAAGATCTGGGAATCATAGTGAACTATATGTGGACAGCTTTGAGGACGTAGCCGCAGAGTACAAAAGCGAGAAACAAACAAAATATCCAAAGTATGTAGGTTTTCACACAATCACCAACTCTCAGAACCTGTTCAGTCTTTAGTCTTCAGTAATAAGGATAGGAGGTCTGTCGACCTATATTAATCCTTGCAGTTTGTAATACTGTGGAGGTCCAATCTCGTTTTGAATATATTAACAGACGGTGCTGATATTACGTGTTCCGGTATGGAATTCCAGTAATTCACTACTCGGTGCGAGAAACGGAACTCCAGACGTAAACGGTTTGATCTCGGTTTTTGAACTTTCTTCGAATGTCCTCTCAAATGATCGGTTCTAGACGGAAGCAAAAGATAAGACATGTTAATACCAAGGTCATCGTTCAGTTACTTGGAGAAATAGCGTCCGCCCCTTCAATTAACTCATTCACAAGAAGACCAGATACTTTTAGAAGTATATGCTTCTAAATATATATTTATATGCTTCTAATATATATTAGAAAAGGATCCTAACAGAAGCTGTATGACTTTCATATAAAGTCATTGTGACCGTTACTAAAAAGGAGTAATTTAGTTGCTGAATGTATAGGGATTTAGGCATTTGAAGTTTGCAACGATATCGAAATTTTGTACACTTAATACACAAAACTGCAAATAAAAGCCTTCAGAACTTACCGTTGCGCTACAGTTGGAACTCCGCCTGAGCTTTTTAGTGTGTTGTGGCGTTAAATAACGTGATCTGGTACAACAAATCGTAAACTATGAGTCCGTTCCTTTTTGAGATTCTATAAATCAATGCCCTATCTTAATTTTTTATACATTGGGATATTTTTTTCGTGCTTTTTGGATATATATATATTTCCCTCGTTCATTATCGTACTTCATATTTCATCATGACTGAACAGACACCTAAAGTACTTAAGCTTAAGACTTTGTCCCCACCTTCGTTTCAACTGATGCCCTTCTGGCCAGACAACATCAAAGCCTGGTTCTGCTACGCAGAAGCCGACTTCTCCGAGCACGGCGTGATCGACACACGTGCACAATTCCTCTCAGTAGTCAAGGCACTACCGCGCGAATTCAACAGGTACGTAACACCTAGTATGTTTACTGGTGATGTTTCCGAACCTTACAAAACGCTTAAACGTTCTATCCTTGAACGCAGAGACCTTACCGATAGACAAAGGTTAAACCACCTCCACAACAACATCGACCTGCAACACAGTTCAGCGACGGACATGTTGCAACGAATGAGAGAGGTTATCGGCCAAAGAACTTTCGATGATGGCCTATTCAAACAACTTGACATAACAGAGTAATGTCGTGCACTTACGCGTTATCTTAATTTTCGTAACGACCGTAAGCGATCGCACACCCCACGTAGAAGCATTTCACGTAAGCGATCTGTCTCTAGACCACGAGAGACGGATAATCCCGACTGGTGCTGGTATCATAACCAGTATGGAAAGTCTACCAGAAATTGCAGAAAACCCTGCAACTTTCACAACTCAAAACCGAGCGACACGGAAAACAATTCGGGAAACTTTCAAGCCGGCACGCGTTAACGGCAACCGTAGGCAGCGAACATAGCCGTCTGTTATACGTCACAGATGAGGCAACGAGAGTTCGCTACCTCGTCGACACTGGCGCGGAAGTTAGCGTTCTCCCAGCGAAGCCCGACGACCGGCTTCACGAATCAGCTTTAAACTTACAGGCGGCAAACGGAAAGCCTATCTCTACATATGTCAAAAGGTACGTCTACCTTAACATGAGATTACGCAAACCCATTCACTGGATCTTCGTTGTCGCAGATGTTTCTGTGCCAATCATTGGTATGGACCTTCTACAACACCATGATCTAATCATCGATACGCACAAACGGAGGCTAGTAGACGGAAACACTAATTTATCCGTTTGCGTAACTTCTTTTACTGGTTGCAAATTATCCCCAGTCACAATTAAGCATATGATAGACCCACTTTATCAGCCACTTCTCGATAAGTATCCTGGGATACACCAAACGCAACCGAAATTACCGTGTGTAACCAGCAACGTTACACATCACATCACGACTACAGGACCACCTGTATTTTCTAAGGCACGGCGACTAGCCCCCGAAAAGCTAAGGTTGGCGATAGACGAGTTCGATCACATGATAGACTTAGGAATCATACGACCGTCAAACAGCCCATGGGCATCTCCGTTGCACATGGTCCCTAAAAAGGACAGCAACGGTTGGCGTCCAACTGGTGACTATCGGCGATTGAATGCGAAAACCATCCCCGATCGTTACCCGTTGCCTCACATTCACGATTTGACAGCTACCTTGAAAGGTACAACTGTCTTTTCGAAAATCGACTTGGTTAAGGCGTATAACCGAACCCCTATGGCTACTGACGACATACCGAAAACAGCCATCATAACTTCCTTCGGACTCTATGAATTTTTGCGAATGCCTTTCGGTCTAAGGAACGCTGCTCAAACATTCCAAAGATTCATAGACGACGTCTTTCGAGGTCTCAACTTCGTACACGCGTATGTTGACGACTGTCTGATTGCAAGTCCGGACAGAGCAACTCATCTCAAGCATCTGGATCTTGTTTTCGACCGACTACAAAAACATGGCATTACTGTAAACGTTCAGAAATGCCAAATCGGAGCTGACTCATTAGACTTTCTGGGACACACTATAGATGCTCAAGGCATTCGACCTCTTAGGACCAAAGTGGCGGCCATTCTGGATTACCCAGAACCGACCACGATCAAGCAATTACGAACGTTTAACGGCCTTGTAAGTTTCTATAGACGATTCATACCTAAATGCGCTTTACTCATGAAACCTCTTACCGACCAACTTCGTGGAAATGTGAAATCCATTAATTTGGACAACACCACACGAAAAGCATTCTCCACAATTAAGGAACTCATCGCTAAAGTAACAATGCTTGCACATCAGGACACCCGAGCACCCATTAGTATCGCAGTAGCCACATCCGACTCAGCAATCGGAGGAGTCTTACAACAATGGGTTAACAACTGGAAACCTTTGGCATTTTTCTCTAGACGGTTGCTAGACTCCGAATCGAGGTACAGCACATTCGGTAGGGAACTCCGAGCTATGTATTGTGCTGTACGGCATTTTCAACACTATATCGAAGGGCGTGAACTCACCCTTTTTACTGACCATAAACCTCTTACTTCCTCGCTAAGGTCATCTTCAGACGAGTACTCACCTCGTGAGTTTCGACAACTGGACTACATTTCGCAGTTTGCTTCAGACATCCAACACATTTCTGGAGAAAACAATGGAGTTGAAGGTGCCTTGTCTCGAATAACTTCCTCAAACAGTTTCTAAGGAATCCACCTTCTTAAACTCGCCCAGCTCCAAAAAGAAGACACTGATCTTCAGCACTAGTTATCGTCCACAACACTCAAGCTACCCACAAGCAAACGGGTTGGTAAAACGCTTTCACTGACAACTAAAAGCTTCACTATCAGCTGCAAACACTTCTCAGTGGACTAACGCACTTCTACTCGTCTTACTAGGTATTCGCAATGCAATCGAAGCTGACATTGGATACTCTGCTGTTCAACTCGTTTATGGAACGACACTTCGATTTCCAGGAGAATTCGTGGATCCTTCATCCTCTTCAATGAGCATGGATCTAACCTCCTACACGAACAGGCTTACAAACGCAATGCGTTCAGTTAAACCTGCTTCCACTCGACCTCATTCAACTGATGTTTTCGTTCGGCCTGACTTACCATATAGTACACACGTTTTCGTTCGTCGAGACTCGCATCGACGACCTTTCGAATCAGCATACGAAGGACCTTTCAAATTTCTTCAACGTGAATCTAAGTACTATATAATCGATAAGAACGGAACCAACGATAGCATCAGCATCGATCGCCTAAAAGCAGCGTACTTAGGAGGAAATCCTATCCACTTCGATTTTCCTTCGGTACAATCGAACGACACGACTCCGACGTTTATAATACCTCATCCGACAACCAACACGCACGATGATACTTCGACAGTATCTGAAAATAAATTTAAAACAACGCGTTCTGGAAGAAGGGTAAGATTTCCAGAACATTTAAATGAATATTGCACATAAGACGTTAGTTAACATTTCGTTTCATCTTGATTTTCCATGGCATTATATATAATATAAAATTTTTTTAATATGCTTATATTTATATATATTTATCATTTGGCTAATATGTATATTAAAATGATTTTAAAAAAACAAAAAACATTTTGTCAAAATAGTTTTCACGTTATTAACCTTTTTTCGCTCATTTAGTGTCTTAAAGCGAGTACGAGTTTATTTCGACATGCTCTTGCATATTCTTTTTTTCTTTTCCAGGACGGCTGGAAAATACGATAAAAAGAACGATGAGGTTTACGAGGAATCAAAATTTTCATTGTACATTGTTTTCTTACTATATTGTATTTCATGGTCCCTTATGGTAAGGAAAGACGACCAAACGCTGCTAAACCTACCAAGCTATCGGAAGAGTGTTCACCAACGACGAAACTTGTTGGGTTTAAACTTCTGGCTGGCCACGTCTTAGGGTCATCACTGCTCCACTAGGGAGGGAGTGGTCTGTAGCGGTAAATAAATCCTCAAAATAAATAGCTCTGTAAGTTTTCGACATTGGATGCTGGCCACATTAGTTCCAACGTACTCAACTAGCTGAAGGTGCTCAGTCATGCATCCGCACCAGATCACGTGTGGGAACGCCGTGCTCAACAACCCTTGCAATCGCTAGTCAGTCTGTGTCAGTCGATCCTCGATATATTAAATATATCTTCTAACCTCCTCGCTCCTGTCTTTTGACTTCATTTGGTGGGAGCGAGTTATATTAGGTGTTACTGGTTAAAGTGTTGTCAAACTCCAAATACCTGTGGCATCTTCTTAGTCTTCAGTTATAAGGATAGGTCTATTGACCTATATTATTCTCTGCAATTTCTAACTCAGTAGAGGTCCAATCTCGTTTTGAATATATCAACAGAAGGTGATGGTTTTGCGTGTTCCTGTAGAGATTTTCCGTCATTCATTACTTGGTCAGAGAAACAACACTCCATATGTAGACACTTTGATCTCAGTTTTTGAATATCGTCCCAAACGATCAGTTGTAGATGGAAGAAAGGGATAAGAAAAGTTGATACCAAGAAAATCGTTCAGTGTTTAATCAATCCACAACCTGCGGTGATAAGCTGTAGTGACCTACTTTTATGAAGAGAACGAGACTGGCGTAATGGAAACAATTATTATTATAACCAACTGTACCAGTGATTGTTTTACTGTACCTGCTTGTGTAAATATACCAAAAACCCTCTTTTCAGTTGTCTGTGACTTGGCACGACCTCTCGTACGCTCTGTAGTTTCGCCCGTAGGTTTTGGCACGATCTCGGTATTATTTCGATACCACGAGATCGCCAACAAATACGTCTTAACTACAACCTTCAACTGCTGTCAGATATTTGGCCTACGGAAGGGTCTAGCCTGTAACTGGCACGTAGTCTTTCTGTAGTGGTAATCATAATCAGCAGCGACTCGACGCCTACTACAAGATTGAGGAGTCTCAGTCTGACTTCACAAGGTAGATTAGAGGGACCTTTACCATTTCGGTCACTTGCTATTCAACTTACTCTAGCACATCCACCTGATATCTGAAACAAAGACTGACCGACTGAATCTCATATTTCAGTTGTAACCTCACGAAAGC